ATTTACATCAGCCAAAAGAGCTTCCAGCACATCTGAATTGTTTGACTACAATTTATTCATCTTGGAAGGTAGAGAGTGGCCCTTCTCACTCTCCGTCTCCAAAAGCAAATATATACTTGCCTGTGCCTGTCCCGAGATTCCCTTGAATGCGCCTCTGAAGCACCTGCCCACGAAAGGAATTCTTTGGAATAGAATATTACTTATCACCGGAAAAAAAGGTATTTAGGGCCGGGAATGGTTTGATCGGTGTCCTTTTTTGGGAATCGAAAGCGTGTTGTAAGAATATCTTTTTCAAAGAAAAAAGAACGAATAATTCCAGACCGGTGAACCTTGGAGATATTTTATAGGTGTTAGGTGACTAATTACTCTGCCGATTACCCACATGTGCCGTGACTTTTTGGAAGAAATACCCACCTTCGATCACAAGCTGGGGGACGCGAATGGTCTTATTGGATGTGCACACAAGCTGGGGACGGCCACGAATGGTACATGGATAAAATCAATTTGTTGCATTACAAGGCTAGCCAGCCAAACAGGTCCTGAAAAAGGAACGGTATCGTTGTTAGCCTATACGTTGGTGCATGAATGGGACTCGATTGTTGTGGGGTTGGTTGCTGGTCTAGCTAGGGTTTGGAATCCTGAATCCTACGGGTGGGTTACAGGTCTAGGCAAAGTGAGAACAATGGATCTTAGGGGTAGGAAAAAAAAAAAAACGGGTTTCCAAATCATGTATGCTGTCCGAGGGGAGGCCTGAAATAGAAACATCCACAGCTCTCTGGCTCAATCACTTAGTGATCAAAATATCAGAGAGGACAGAAAGAGAATAGTCCTTGGGATCTGTAGTGCTAGAATCTACCTTATTGTCGAAAACAAAAAAAGGGTTTCCGAACTAGAGCCAATGACAGGACAATCAGGTGAAAGCAGACTACATAACTAACGTGGGAAATTAACTGATCACCATGCAAGGAGGAGGCAGCCATGAATTATAACCTCTTTCACTTCCCAAATCTGCTACTTTAGTTGCCTCTCTACAAACATGACTCACAGTGGAAGTAGCCAAAAAAAAAGAACAAAGAATGAATGAAGACGTAAAAATAAAACAATAATCTTATTAACGAAACACAACATCAATAAGCAAGTTTACTGATACACACACACACATGAATACATGCAAAACACCTAGGGGTAGGCGCACAGGAGGACAAGAGGACCTACAGACATCAAAGAACCATGGAAGATTGTAAAATAGTAAACAGGGAGCATGTAAACCAGTAGACAGAGAGCCTAGAGACACATGAACAAAGGAAGCTGGATGAACTCCCAATATTACATGTAAATGACATGTAGTATAACATCACAAGACCCCAAAACGAAAAGCATAAGGAGCCCATATATGTGGAATAATAGTAAGAGCGCTGCACACCGCTTCCGTGCCAAGAAGAACCCGAAGGCTGATTATTGAGGAAGATAAATTGATGCCACGCTTAAAAACCTAAGCCATCATCTTGAACAAAGTCATGTCAAGATCCAGAATTTTTTTTTTAAAAAAAAAGGGCCAAGCAACAAAGCAAGCATTAGGTTTTGTTTTTTATAATCATTCAGAGTATATTCAAAGCAAGAGTAAAACCAATATTCAAAGCAAAATACAGGAAAATATTACAGATTTTTACTGGGAAACAAAACATGCATGAGGTACTGTAACAACAAGAGTAAATATTACAGATTTTTATACGTAATTCAATAGCTGAAGCATACATGTAGATGAATTATATAGCCAGTTCCGTATTCGGCTCAACTCTAATGTTATAGCTGATTCCATTTTCTACATCTGCTACCATTGTTAAGATGATAGAATCATTGACTGTAAGTCCTTTCTCACGGACGAAGTCCAACCAGTCTCCTCTGATGACGGGTTTCTTGCAACGACCATATGGTTCCTTGTACAAAGCTTGAATTCCCACTCTTTTCCAGTAGGATCTCTTGCATTAAAACTGATAGCGTTTTCTCCTTGCACCATTTGAAAAGCCCAGAGATTAGCCGTTGTATAAGCCAGACAAGACTCTATGTCTGTGGTGGTCAGTTATTTATTCACAAGCTCAAACTCCATCGTAGGCTAAATGTGTCAGGAAGATGGGAGGGGAATACTGGATGCAAAGATCTCCCTCCTCTCCGCCAGGTTATATAACCCCTATCTTTAGTTTGTAATTAATTAAATAAGATGAGAGGACTTCTTCGAGTTGCCGAAGGCCCGAAAGGGATGTATCTAGAGATCGTTGCTTTGTCATTACCGATTCCCGGCATTCGATATTCGTCTGCAAATTGCTTTGCGTGCTTTTCCACCTACCTCCTATGAAATCGTGAGTATTTATATAAATCCAAAAACCTACTGTCACTTCAGTACTGGCTGTTAAGAAACCACAAGAGGTTCTCGACTTGTTAATCGGCAAAGTGCAAATGGCGCATGGCTAGTAAGTCTATACGGCTAGAAATTTAATCTCAGAGTTTTAATTGATTTAAATTAATAAAATTTTATTTTATTTTATTTTATTAAATAAATAAAACTTCGAATACAATTCAATATTAATTTAATATGAAAAAATTAAATTGGAAATAAAAAAATTAAGTGATAAAAAAACATTATGAGTGACATTTTATTTTCTTTGTTACATTTTTATTTTAAAATTGATTGAAGAAATATTTATAAAAAAGTAAGTCAGTGGGACATCATAAGTGGTTAATATCTCCGAGTCTCACTGTTGACAAAAGAAGGCAAAAATCCTTGACAGCCGCAAAATCTGAGGCTATTGGCCTACCACACGCACTAAAATTCAGACTTATTTTTCTTTGAAATTCAATCTCGATATCATGGAAGCTCGTGTTAAGAGATTAACATGTTAAATTTAAATTTATAATTCAAAACTTGAATTAAATTTTAATTTTAATTTTTACTTGACCGGCCACTTTGGTAATACTGTGAGGGTGATTTTATTAGTATTGTCACCTGTGAGATGTAATCCAAACTTTGATAGGGACAAAATATAAAAAACTAAAATAAAATGAAATGGAAATATTTTAAGAAAGATAATAAAATTGATTGACATGACATCTAAAATGATGGAAATATGGTGTATATTTTATTTTATTTATTTGCTGGAAAATAATTTTTTTAAAATAATTTTTTTGGATAATGAATTATTATTATTATTATTATTATTTTATTTACGTGGGGTGTCCGGGCCAGCTTACGCGCACCACGACTAATCCCCACGGCCCACTGAATACCCTGCAAACCCAGTAGGTATGTAAGGCACCGCGGGGGTGACAGGCGTGCACGCCAGGACTCGAACCCAGGTGCAGTGGAAGGAGATAAGCCCCTTCCACCGCTAGGCCAAGCCCTGGTTTGCAATGAATTTTTTTTTTTTTTATGTTTGGTAATGTCATGGAAAATAAGTTAAAAAATATTTTCGAGTATTTGGTTATGTTATGAAAAATAAGCTGGAAAATAGCTTATTAATATTTTTTAAAAAATTTATTAAAATAATGACGAACAAATCTTACAAATTAAAAAGTTGAATAAGAATGAAATTAAAAAAAACTTAATTTCATAAATTATCTGAAATAAAATAAATAATAATCAAAATAATAGAGATCAAATCTAACAAATAAAAAATTGAAAGATGATGAAATTAAAATAATTATAATTATAATATTATAAATTATTTCAAATAAAATAAGTAACAATCAAAAGAAAAGGAACTAAATTTGATAAATAAAACATTTCAAATAAAAAAAGACAAGATAAAAAAATAACTATCATAAAAATGAGGACCAAAGTTAATATAAAAATCAAATTAAATTAAATTTTAAGAAATTAAATTGAAAAAAAATAAAAACAAATATATATCAATCAAAAATTTAAAAACCGAATTTGATATAATTAGCCAATAATATGATAATTTTAAATTTTTTACAACTTCTAGGAAAACAATTTCACTTAAAATAAAAAAAATATTTAAAAAAAAAATAAATCAAATTTTTCTTTAACTAAAAAATATTTTTTATTGGTTAAGTTTCTTAATAACAAATAAATACAATTTTATTAAAAAAATAACTTCTAAGAATCCACTTCTCGAACAATCAATCTCCCTTATGATTTCATCCATGATTTCCCTTCAGCAAAAAAGAACAACGGGCCAGAGGAAATATATATATATATATTACAAATTTGATTTTAAAAAATATTCCAAATTTGTTGTGCTCGAGTTGTTATGGAATGAATATTTCCGTTCTTTAAGTTCTTTTTACTTCTCCCTCTATTTCTTTTCTTCTTCTAATTCTCTCTTCAATCTTAAGCCTTCACAACTTGTCCAAGACCGAGGAGACAAATTCATACGGATGAGTTGACTCGACTGGTTGCGGGACAAGAGTGAAGCAACCTTAAGGTTTAGTTGACTCGACTGGTTTCAAGGCTGGTGGGGTGTTAATAGTAATTGCCATCTTCGTTCAAGTAGTTGGTGAAGTTTGATGCCGGAGGGGGCAGAGAAGTCAAGGGATTGCTGTTGTCATGACTGAGAAGGGACGGGTTAACATGTCGACGGAGTTGAAAGTCATCGGCGTTGTGGAAACCCGTAAGATAAACCATGGGAGTACGGTCTGGATTACTACTGCCACTCGAGATTAATGGAAATAACGGGATTTATGGAAGATAGAGCGCTGCTGGGGTTGTTCGTACAGTTATATGTCAGGAAAGGGTGGGTTTTGCTTTTAGGTGAGGGGGTGATCAGACGGTGGAGAATGAGTGATGAGAGGGGTGTGCGGCAGCCAAAGTAGCAAGCGAGGATGATGTTTGGGCGTGAGTATTATATAGGGGTCAGCCTGTCAGGGAAGATAGAGCGCAGCTAGAAATTAGCAGGCATGGCAGGACCCCTGAGCTTTTTACCTGTTTACGCCATTTTGTTCTCTTCACAGAAAGCAGGGCAGAGAGAGAGAGAGAGAGGAAATTGATGGGAAATTTTCCTTTTCATTTTTCTTTGCTACCAAACAATGAATTACAAAATTACAGTAAGGAAAAAATGAAAAAGAAAAACAAAATAAAAGACTGTACACTTAACAAGAATGGGGAGTAGAAAGCAGAGGGGGAGAGATGCTATGGAATGATGACCAACTCCCACACTAAAAGGGGCAGCTGTGAACTAAAATGAAGAAACCATTCCAGAACACTTCACAAGCTTTTGATGCCTGATTAATGATAATCACCAACCCCCTGCTGCTTACCCTGTCCGGGGAGAGCAACTTCATCGATCCCACATCGCTTGGTATACTGGAGGCCTGTGCTTCAACCAGTGTACCATTTCTCTGTCTAGTGGGGCATTGTTCAATACAGCATCTAGCATTGGACTGCCAAAAACTCTTGGGGAGTTCTTGAATGACCATATTTGGTCCTTGGGCCACGGTTTCTGAGGGTACTTCTCCTGAAAATACAACGTCAACAGATATGAAACCACACACTAACAAATCTGGTTCGAAAATAGTTTGGCTAAAGTGATTCTAGGTTAATGTGATCAGGGTTGACAACTTTGGTTTACAGAAGTCATTTTTTAACCATAGGTATCTCGGATTCAGCCTGAAAAACTTGTCAAGCCTAAGCATGACACATGCCTATCATCTCCGGAGTTAAAGATAAATCTGGGCAGCTTCAGTTAAAGCAAGGATGCGAGCAAAGCTAACATCTTGTGGTACAGAGATATCAAACAGCATGCAGTAAATGATAGCGCAATGAAACTTACCATTCTTTCCAACATCATTTTCACGGTCTTGGGACCATAAATGCGCTGCTGTGATGGCTTCTGAACCTTAGCGTAAAAGGAACCAATTTCAGGTAATGACAAGCAGCCCTTGCTCGCTTTAGCAAGGGTAAAATCAGGCTCGGTGTTAGTCTGGACATGCCAAAATATCAACTGTCCCATGCAATAGTTCTCCCCATAGGTTTTTTGATACTTGTGGGGAAGACCCCCTAACTTATCAGCACATTTGGGGCCTAAGTCAAGTGGACTAATGTGAACTGGTGGAGAAGTAAATGCATCATATTCCTGCAAGAAATTTACCATGTTACTTGAAGATAGAATAAAAAGCATGCAATGGTGCCAGCATAAGTAGTTCCCGGGCCAAGAAAATAGACAAAACCAGTTAGTGGAGACTGGTTCAGCGAAGACTTACCCTAACTCTAAAGAAGCTCTTTGTATAAGCATAAACATGGATTAAGTCAGCTGCAGCATCATGCCGGCACTTGTATGTACATGGAAGACTGCGCACCTCATCCCTCAACCTTAAAAATAAAAAATTCGATAGAATTTTCCCCTTTTTTCCCAAGAAAACACACAAAGGAAAAAACAGAAGCAATATAAGCTGCTGCTCACCACAATAAAGACTTCTGAAGAGCTTTCTGAATGTCATCACAATCTGACGGATCATGCGCACAAACCTTGGACTTGAGGTCATTTAGCATGTCTTCATCCATATAAGGAGACATGCACTGCAGAAGTTCATCAACAAGTGATCCATCTCCTTTCCAGAGGAAGGAAACAGTTTCTTCAGGAGTAAGCTTCTCCAGCGGAGGTGGAGCTTGCTTTGGGTCACCAAATATGCACCTCATTACATACCTCACCTGCATAGAACTTAGAAGATTTAAGAATTCACGACTTCATATTGATGGAAGACATCAAAAATCAACATGCTCAGACCTCAAACCTAGAGCCTCGCCAGCCAAACTATAATCATGTTCAATGAGTTGGGAACATGGAATAAATGGATAGAAAATTAAGGCAGTTCTTAAATCATTTCTACAGGTTAGATTTCATACTCAGACCTGTAATTGTTAGCCCTAAGGCCTAAATATCAGAAGAAGTTTTGTATCACAAAGCCCAGACTCTATAACCATGTTCTATGAGTTAGGAACAAGGTATGATAGGTAAAACAAAGGCAATTATGAAGGGATGATCTTGCTGGTGGTTCTACATCAGTACATTTCAGACTGAGACATAAAATCAACAGTCCTAGGACCTAAATATCAGAGATCAAAATTTTGTATCAAAAGCTGATAGTTCAAATAATTACCAAGGCAATACTGACCTTGTCAAGAGTAACAGCCAAATTTTGAAGCCTCTGGTTGTAGACACCTTCAGCCTGCTCAAAAAAAAGAGTACCAAAAGTAACTACAAGCAGTCACTCAAACAGCAGACTTCACAAGAGCATTTCAAGTGCCCACATACACTATGCATTTACCTGAACCTCAGCATCACTTCTCTCGACCTCAAGACATGTATCTGCAAAATATTTCCTTTTCTCTTCCAAATTATGCCTCAGAATTTCCTCAGGAAGCTTTGTTCTTTCCAGATTTATAAATCTTACCAGACGAGCAGAATATGCAACCACCCAATCTGGCAACCCACCAAGTAAGCAACTGCCTAAACCAGCCCTACCCAAGTCCAGATAATCTTCTTCAGACACAGAATTTAATTCACAAGCTCCAAGCATCAAATAATGACGATCCAGTAATCCATGCCACTCCTTCAACACCTGATAAGCAGCAATGTTCAGTTGACATCAAATAAAAAAACACAAACTTCAAGTACAGTAATAAGATATTTCAATACTTTTCTGAAAAGAGAATTCAATCCTAGTCTGTACCTTTTGGAAAGCCCCTTCACCTGTCAAATTTAAGTAGCTGCCCCTGCAAACTTGGCTACCACACAAACAAACAGACGCTTCATATTCTTCTTTACTCTGCAAAATGAAAGGTCTCCAACCATTGGACATGAAAAAAAAAGTTGAATTTATATTCTACAGTGTGAAAAGGCCAACAGGAAAATGATATGCACCTCTGTCACGGAATTGTAATCAAATGTTATCTCCTCGCCATGTTGGATTTCACGGACAGTGTAGATTCCAATCTGGTACTGACCATCTACAGCAGTAACTCTGCATTCACATTGATATTAATCTGAATGACTGAAATTTTGTTAATATTAAACAGCATTTTTCTTTTTACAACAAGTGTCTCACGGTGACCTTTTTTTCTCAATAACTGCTGCTTCAAAATCAGATCAATCTTCAATAGAACAATACTTCATTGAACAACAAATAAACAGATGGTGCAGCATTATCTCACTCAACAAAGAAGTAATCAATTACAGATTCCAAACATTTTGATTCCCACAAGTCATCATGGAAAACAAAAACAATCAAAGAAAAACACATCACATCCCGCATGCATGCATATAACACCATCCACCCAGAAACTAATTCTAAGATCTGGAGCTTTGCCTATCACGGATTGTCATTCATGGAATGTTTCTAGCTTTAAACATCTAATTCGATTATCTACCTTCCTAAGATTGTAATATTCATATCTAACAACAAGAGAGTGAAAAGAAATGCATGGATGTAAAATAATGTCACTGAACCACCATTTACTTGATATTCTATAACTAGCAAAGCTTTCCAGAATAATGCTTTATACCTCAGCACATTAATCAGAAACAGTGAATAAAAGGGTAGCAATACTCACTTTGCTTCACAATTAGGTTTGCATGAGTGACAGATGCGACTTGCGTAGTTTGCCTTATGCATGGCATCAACAACAACCAAATCATAACCATCAGCATCACCCTGCAGAATAGCAACAAAATATCAGGAAATTCAATAAAGCAAGAGGAGACAAGATATGACAAACCCATTTACAGAAGTTCAAGTAACACAACACCTTTGGCCTCTCAAGATAAATGTTGTAAAATTCTGGAGCTGGTTCTTTACTGTCTTTCTGTAATAATCTAATCCCATCTTGCTTCTCAAACCATTTCCATGCAGGATATACCTGCAAAAATTAAGTTTAAAGTGAAGAAAAAGAAAAAGGGTTAAAGCTTTAACACCATGTAACACCAGAGATTTATTCTAAAGTACAGCACCCGAGCATCACATGCAGAAATATTATGAAAGCAAACCAATGCATAGTTATTACTTTCAGCAACGTGCACTTTCCAATGTTAGCAATGGATAATTAGAAGTAATTACATGAATGCCAAGTTATCAACAACACTAGGAGTTGCATCATAAGACAGCCTTATTTTTTAACTTTTCTCTACTGATGTATTTGAGATGTTAAAACCAAAGAAACCTCTGACCAATAATATCTAACGTGAAGATATCATTCAAAACTATATTGCAGGATCACACACTGAATCTGCCAGTACAAAGAAGATGGTCCTGGCAGCACATCAGCAGTTACGTATCCTATCATCCCAAAGGATACCACCCATGACAGCTTCTAAAAGTTCTGTAAAACATTATTTTACAATGCAATCAAATAATGACAGGTGCTCCTTAAATGCAGTTTTTTCAACTAGTCAGAATTCATACCTCTCCCAAAAACTCCACAACAAAGTCATCATCTCCAAAACCACCTTCTTTGTTGCATACAACACCAAGCCCCTGATGATGAAAAGAAGGGGTGTAAAATAACCATAAAGGGAGAAAAATATAGAACAAAGAATTTTCTTGTGTTTTTTTTTTTGGTGCATGTGTGTGTTTTGGGGGCAAGGATACTATCAAGTTCAAGTGCTAAACCTTCCGGTAAGCAACATATTTGTCATCAGGTCGATTATCTATGGCTCTCAAGATACCCCGACATATTTTCATTTTTAGTATATCACAATCCTCCACAGCAGCTTGTTCAATTTCTTCAACAACAGGCTGTATAGGATATGTCATCGGAGTGTTCCCAGCACCAGTAAAGTGCCTGACTTGCTTATTCAGGGTACAGAGTAGCACATCTTCAATAAACATATGTTTTTGCAACAAAGGCCAGTCCACTTCTTCAGGCATGGAATCAAGTAAAAGATTGTGGGTATAGGGATCAATTCCATAAACTTCTTGTTCTATAACTTCGTCTCCAAGCTGTTTCCTAGGTTTGAAACCCTTGACTTCAGGAAGTTCCATATCTAATTCCTCAGTGCCATTTTTCTGTGCATCAAGCTTCTCAGCATAGTCATCTGGCAAAGATACAGACATCTTTCGCTGGACATCCTCCTCATCTGCTACAATAAGATATTGGTCTATGACTTCATACTTCCTAGTAACAGGAGGAACCAGACTCACTTTTGTCATGCGAGCACCCCATTCACGTTCATCCTCATCTGTCATACAGTATCCGTCTCCTCTTGACTCCCCAGTTCGACCTTCTGATCGGAAATCCAAGTCACTTTCTGTATCTGAAGCAGTACTATCACTACCACTCCTGCCATCTTCAGAAGACCGGTCATCAGAAGTTTCACTTCCTGAATCCATGGATTTTCTGTTGAGTTTGGATATACGCTTCTTAATTTCCTGATCAGATGCATATTCTCCATAATCAAAACTACCATTTGCAGGGATAGTGCCATTGCTCCTATTCATGCACTTCTTTCCAGTAGCTTTCTTCTTATGTTTCATTGGAGCAGAATCCAATGCTGCAGATAAATCATCTTTCCATGACTTCATGAGCTCATCTCTTTCATAAGAAAACTTGGAACTCTCTTCCAAACGAGAGGCTAGTTGGAAAAACAATGTAATGATGTGATTCATGTCTCCAGCACCCCGATTCTTTACTCTGCAATTATAGATGTACATATATAACAAATAGTATCACAAAAATAATCAAGATGATGTTATGATAAAGAAAGAAATTGAGGTCCGCCAATGTAAAGTATTGTTAAGAAAGAAAGAGAGGTGTGCATAGTGGTTTCATTACACTTAATGCTGGCATGCAATTGTAGAAATCTGCATTGCAAATATTCCAGCATGGAAAGAGCAAAATACAAGTATATAAAATACAGCAGCAAAGCTGAAGGAGATCCTTGTACTAAATGTAGGCCGTCAGCATCACATCAGCAATTGTTTCCAGTAACAATTGAAACAGAAATTCGTAAGCTTTTGATTCATTAAAAGGAAGGGCAAATGGTTTTGCTGTTAAACAGTCTTGGGTTATACAATGTTTCCAGACCACAGAACCAAACAAATGCAGATACAGACATGCCTAGATATACAAACAAGTATAAAGTAGCAATTAAAGATAAACTTACTTAATAGCATCTCTGCACATTCGACTAATATCCTCCTTGACCGACCTCAATCCATGCCCAACATAATAGCCATTCTTCATCCTATCCTCAATTTCTGCCACCTGATTAATATACAAAAAAAGGAATAAGAACTCAAGCCAGCACAACTCATATCAATATAAAACAAGTATTGGTACCTTAGGCACAAAAAAATCGAAGATATTCTCCTTCATTATGTCCTTCAAACCTGCAGCAAGAAACCCCTCCATCCTTGTATAGCTATTTTCAGATTTCTTGACTGCCCATCGCCTCATACGAGCATCCCTGGATAGAATGGATGATGACTTTCTAGCATCAAACACTTTTGAGCGTTTGTACAAACTTCGACGAAATAATTGATTTGCTGAGTCTCTCTTATTCACACTATCAAAATACTCCTTCAGCTCCCCAAAATCATCTCTCCCACTGATTTGTTTAAGACTCCTTAGTTTAGAATTTGACTCCTCAGGGATCCTTGTGCGGCTCTTGAGCCAACTAACACGTGGAAATTGATGGGCCAACTCCATGAACTGGCTGCAGCCTCTAATATCTATAGAAGATAAACATGGGAAAGAGCAGAGAATTTCTTCAAGCATGCCAGAAGTGACATTTGTACAACCCGTCAGCACCATTGCATTAATCTTTTCTTTGTTATAACCATTCTGCAAACATATAAATCATATTACCCCCAGAAAGGTAAAGACTTGACTATAGCCTGTAATGCCAAACATATATAAAACTTACCATGATACTCCTCACCATCAAGTCAGTACAGTTGGGACCCACAGATGAAAGATCAACCTGTATTGATATGCCCTTGTAAAAACCAACAGCAGCTCTCCAGTGTTTACAAGTCAAGGAAGCAAAGACTAGGGATTTCAAGTCAGATCTCAGAAAATGAAAGATTCGTGCCAGCATATGACCATCCAATAAACCCCAGCTTCCTGCCTCAATCTCTGAACACATGCTCTCTTCTCTGTGGAAATTGGTATCACCACATAGTTGCTCAAAAGTGGTTTCAACCTTGTGCAATGTGTCTTCCTCCATTTCATTATCCTTAACAATTTGGTCAGGCTGCATCCAGGCTCTTTTTCCAACACGTACATCTATTTCTGCAACTCACCAGCCCCAGAAAAAGAGCCTCAGATTGAGTACAACATGGAAGTTATAGAAAACATATGCAAACATATGTTCAGAAAATGGAGCTAAATAGAGCACAGGTCAATGCAATGAACAAAGATATATGATTGCCACAGATGTAACAGACAATTCATTTAGCGCAACCATAACAATAGCTTTTTGCAATATGTGTTTGATCGACCTTTTAATATATCGATAACATATAATCCAGAAAGAAGCACAGCAAAGAGCAAAAGTTGAAGCAAAACATACAGAAAGAAACAAATGAAAGGGAAGGAAGCAAAAATTGCTGAAGCATGAAGAACGAGAGGCAGAATTTGAAAGAGATGACAATAGTGGACACAAGAACACAAACCTAAAGCATATGTAAAGAGAAAACAAGGTAATGGAGGAAAAGCGAGTGCAAGTTTCACACCTATAACGACAAACAATCAAATACAAGGATTTCAGTGCGGAAATAGGGATGTTGATCAACCACAAGAAAACACGGCACAGAAAATTATGGCCCAAACCAAAAGTTTCAGACAGTACCATCTGCGGAGAACTTAAGGAGAACACATAAATAAATACCATCTAAACATTTCCAGCAACACAGCAAAGATCAATCATTTGTGACAAAACAAAGGCATGGGACAAAAGAAGAGAAATTTGAAGGAAGCAGGAGGAGAACTGTTAATGCTTCATCTCTCAGCAGGGCACGTGTGCAAAGTGAGAGCAGCAAGAAGATCATCTAATACTTGATCATACAATTAATATTACTCAGTTGTAGATACAGAAGGAAACCTGGATGATCAACTCATCCATACCTGATTTGAGGTACATATGTTTATCGAGCTCTTTCTGAGGCTGTTTTGCAACAATCCATGGATCCAAGGCCTCATTTATGGCTACAGCAAACTCCCGGTTCTTGTACGATTTCATTACCAATTCATGTAGCTTCCCCCGGGTAAAACCAATGAACTGTGGATGAAGGCTGTGAAATGAACTAGAATCTTTGTTACTCTCAATATTAGCAGCAGTCTGGGACTTCAAAAGAGTTCCCGAAGAACCACCAGACAGTTCAACATTTGACTGTTGAATTCTGACAGTGGCTTCAGAAGTCTCTGTGGCTGATGCAACTGGAACCCACACCCTATCAAATTTCCTGAAAACGCTGCTATACTTTTGGATGGTACCTTTATCCGCCAAATTCTGAAGCTCTGAAAATGATAAGGGACCTCGTTCATGGCCAGAACCATCTAAGTAATACCAGTCACCCAAATTCAATTGTAAGTCATCTGCTGTGCAAAGACGGTCTTTGGGAGTGTTAAGTGATGCAGTCGACTTCCAAGATCCATGTGAGTCTTGATCATTGACAATTCGGGATTGTGAATCGCACTCCACTGATGAACTCTTCACATCATTAGTTGCAGAATGAGTTCGAGCAGATCTTGAATGATATCTGTCCTTCCCTCGAACTTTAGTGCGGGTCTCAGAAACATGGTCCTGAACCACACATGCATTTATCCTGACCACTGGAAGCACGGTTCCTTTCACTCCCCTTGTTATTGGAGGTTTATTGAGGGTTGATCTACTGACACCACCAGTATCATTTCTATCATCAGAGCTGGAGAAAGCCCAAGGAGGGAGGTCAAGCTTCCTGCTTTGAGAAGGATTATACAAATCATCTTTTATATGCCACCGTGGGTCCTCACACCCTGACTTTGGCATGTGGCACACTGGGAATCCATCATTAAGAACAAGTTTCCTTCGAGTAAATCTGTCCTGGACAGACTCCTCATTCCTCTTCCAGTCCCCACCCTTGCAAGACCATCGGCCAGAAAACCAGTCAGTGGAATCAACAGAAGAGGCAAAGCCATCATCCTTGTCAGCAAGAGTAGCTGGCCATGCTTCAACAGCTACGTTTGTTTTCACATCAGAATGTCTTAGTAATTCATCACTGTTTTCATCCCGTTGTTCAGAAGTGGTAGCTCGCTGCCAGGTAAAACCTGTTCATTCAAGAAGACACTGGTCAGCATTTCTGGATAATCAGTTATGGCAACTGACTTGTTTTGTGAATATTGGGAAGAGACTGTCTGAAGATGTGCGACACTTGAGGTGGAGATCACCCAAGAAAACGAGAAAATAAATTAATTACAGGATTGATATTGGCATTCATTTATATACCTTCTGCTTTTATACATCCCTCCCATTGCACATGTTCAAATGTCATTTGCAGAGCTTCTGCAGGATGATAAAGAAGAAGAAAGAATGTAAGAAGTATCCAAACAGACAAAAAATAAACATTAGTATTAAATAACCAGAAAATTATTTAATGCTATAAAATGAAAAGTAAAAGAAAGAAAATTTTAAAAATACCTCCAACAGTCTCTAGCTCACTGCCAGGAACAACAGAAAAACCCTCCAATAGAGCTCCAACTCTTTCGTCAATCTGTAGATCTTCTAAAGACTCAGAAGCAATTTCACTGTGATCAGGGCAGGCTGGTGGTTTCAGAAAATTCCCTGATACTCCCTCGCCAATCTGAGCACAAGATTGCCCGATATCTCCAGTATCTGCCAAAAGATTACCAGGAGCCTCTGGAGGGCTTACTAGTTGAGTTATAGCATCTGGCACAACAGATGGGAAATTCACTGGCACAAACGGTGAAAGTGCATTTTCGATTGTTAACCACCTATCACTATGCAAGTGCTTGATAAAGTGATCAGACATAAGACTTCCTTCATCAACAAGCGCTTTAAGCTCGCATAACTTTGAAGGGCCACATTCCACACCAAAATGATCTAGGTAAAACCATTTACCAGTTGATGTATCAGCCACAGCAGGGACATGTGGTGGTGTATCACATATATCCATATCTTCCTCCATAGATTGCAGTTCTTCAGGAGGAGGTCCATCAACTTGAGGAGGTTCTTTAATATTTATCCTTGGGCTCTCGGACTTCTCTTCTATGCGAGTTTCACTGCTGGCATGCTTTTCATCCAAACCATCAAAATTAAGCACGCTACTTTTATCTAGAGATTCCTTAGCTGGGGGTTCTGTGTCCCTTACATCAGGATCCTTTTGGCTGATCTTATCCTCCTGCTGTTTATTACCATACTGAGAGTTCCGCTTCTCAGTGGCTCCACCCTTTCGACTTGCTTCTCTATAATTATTGGGCTTAGCACGATCATGTGGGGATCGCTCCAAGTAATTTGGTGTCCGATCGCTGCGGTCATGGTGCCGGGCTCGATCCTGTGGGGACCTTTCCACATAAGAAGGACTCCTTTTTCTATGCTCGTAATGGCGGCTTCGGTCATAAGGTGATTTCTCAAGTCCGTACGGGGATCTCTCTCGTCCGTATGGGGATTTCTCACGTCCATAGGGGGATCTATCATGTCCATATGGGGATCTGTCTCGCCAATATGGTGACCTCTCACGTCCATATGGTGATCTTTCTCGCCCATATGGAGATCTCTCCAGTCCATATGGTGTCCTTTCTCGGCCATAGGGAGATTTCTCATGACGGATTGGACTTCGGTCCCTGTGATCATTGTATCGGGGCCTCTCATGTGGGGACCAGTCGGAATGAACATGCCTGTCATAAACAACCTTAGAGGGCAAAGTGGACTCATGATGCCTGGATGAGTACTTGTCTGATAAAGATACTCTGGAGGAAGAAGAGTTTTTATAGAACCTCTCCACAGAGTGACGTGAATAGTGCTCTGAGTAAGCATAGCGGGAACCATCCTCAGAAAGTCTCCTGCTTTTAGAACTAGAGTAATCCCCATAATGTTTGCGCTCGGTGCTATCAGAATCGGTACCATGACGTTTCAATCTGTTACCCGAAGAATACTCCCTTCCAGGGTTCTTACCATTGCTGTACTCACTCTTATACGAACCTTCTTCATCAACAATCTTTGAGCTGATCCTTGTACTCCTTTCCTGGCCACTCTCCCACCTCATAGAACTTTTACTGTGCAGGCTACCCCCACTTCTAGTCAACTCTTTCCTTCGGTTAACATCCTCACAAGAATACTTCCCGGAAGGTGGCGTCCGCTCCCTACTCATGTCATACTTGCCACGAGACCTAATGTAGCCATACTCATCTTTACCATTCCACCTGTCCGGAATGAACTCACCTTTCTCGATTTCGTCTCGAACAACTTCCCCTCTCGGCCATTTATTACCAGAAACAATCTCCCCTTTCTCTATATCCCCTTTCTTCCATTTCTCACTACCAATCTCTCCTCTCTCAATCTCACTTCTCCTTGGCTTCTCTGGTATAGGAACAAATTCGCCATTCTCAATTTCCCCTTTAGGCGGCCACTTCAATGTCCCTAATTCCCCCTCTTCAACTTCCTCTTTAATATTATTACTACCACTCTGCAACTTAGCATCCCCAGAACCCAAACCATCACCATTTTCAACTGTCTTGCTACCACTACTAATCTTCAAACCTGATTCTTTCTTCTCCGCTGCCACTTCCTTCTTCCATCCTGATTCTTTCTTCTCAGCTGTCACTTCCTTGCTCTTTTCTTCCTTCTTCAATCCTGATTCTTTCGTCTCCAACACCACTACTTCCTTACTACCACTCCCACAAGCACTCTTAACTTCCCTCACCAATCCCACTCCTTTCTTCTCCCCCGCCACTACTTTCCTCACCACCTTTTTCACCTTAACTATCCTCTTCACCTTCTTCACCTTCCCGGTCACCCCATTGTTGCTACTATAACTTTTCCCGTTATCCTTCTTGTCACCACTACTGACATTATTATTATTTTTATTATTACTAATACCACCACCACCACTGCTGTTACTGTTGTTGTTTACAGTTTCCACTTTCGTTGTTGTTGTTGTTGATGGAACTGTTGCTGTTACTGTTGTTGTTGTATTCTTTTCTTGAACAGGAAATCTTTCTTCCATGATGATATTATTATTACTGTGCTGCAAAGGCATACATGCGACACCTCCATCACCCATGGAATTCAAAACCTGAAATCTTCAAAGCTCGAAAACCCTAATTCTCCCCTTTCCCAGGGCTATCGATGCTCATACTTCAACCAATTTTGTTCTTCTCCTTCGCTTCGATTCCAAACCCTAATTTCCACAAATCCACAAACACAAAACCATTAGTTCATCAATGTAGGGTTAAATTAAATCAAATGAACAAAAAGTAACTACAGTCAGTACCCTCTACAAAAACCTAGGGTTTGTAAATAACGGAGAGATAACGGAGAGAATAAGCAGACTTACCGGGAGAAAATTCAGGAACGTAAAAAGATAGATCGAAGATTGTCGTTGAATTTGCAGATCGAAAATGGAGAACAAAAGAGAGAAATTAATAATAAAAGGAAGAAGAAGAAGTCCTTGAAGAGAAATAAAATCTTTTTCGTTCTCTCTGGCTCGCTGGCTGGTGTTTTTGGTCTGAAAAACGAAGCTTTCGTGTTTTCTTTTTTTTTTATTATTATTATTATCAGGCTGGTTATTAAGGAGGAGATGACTTGATTTTGAAATGACAAATATGTCCTTGCGGATCCTGTATTTATACGAACGAAACATGACCCGTCGAGTGCTGATGTCCTTGACTCGGCTTTCTGAGTCCTTGACTGGCTCTAACTCGGTACCATCTAGCGTTAGCTGGCTTTTGCAACTCACTCCCTCGCCTTCTTTTTCTCCTTTTGGCTTTTCCTTTCATCGCTTGAATCGCCGGGGAAGGTAAGTATCATATCGGCATCATAAAAGTTGTAGCTTTTGTAAATAGGTTTTAGGTTAATTGATTAATTTTTCTCGATTTGATTTAAATAAATTAAATTCAAAAAATATTAATTAATGTGTAATTATATTAATAAAAAAATAAGGTAAAAAGAATGGTATTTATCTGGAACTTTAATAGTATAGAAGTTCGTATAAATCTGTCCTTCTCTTTTCTTAATGGTAAGTCACTTATAATGGATGAAGCATATACTAATTCATGATTTGGTGGTGACAAAACGAACATGATCTATACATTCACATAACATGGTTTTAATTTAAAAAAATCAATTAATCTTGGTAATTTGAATTTTATATCGATGTTTAATAATTATACATACAAGGAAAGAGAATGTAAAATGAAATAAAAGAAATAAAATGAGGGCTTTTTTGTCAATTTGACAGGGCAGGGAGAGTTTGGTAAAATAGAGGTTTTGGCGCTCACCGTGTAAGAGAAATCTTTCAAGAGAGGTGGAAGGGAGGGATTTCCTTTCTGCAAGCTGTTGTGATTAAAATACGATAACTTTACCCAAAGTTTTGGAATTTCACAGAGGGTTGAAGGCTTAAAGTGGATTCATGTACTGGGCTGGGCTTTCATGTACTCCCAGCCCATGACAAAACCTTATACGGATCTTGAAAGGTACCACATTTTTTTGTCCAATGGGATTACGTAGAAATCAAATAATCCGTCATGGTTATTTTTACTTTAAATTAATAATTAAATGTTATCTAGATTATTATATTATTTATAATATGGTTGGACTTGTTTGAAAAAATAAATTGAATTTTTTTATTTAAAATTATTTTTTATATTTTAAAATTATTTTGAGGTATTAATATTAAAAATAAATTTTAAAAAATAAAAATATATATTATTTTAATATAATTTAAAATAAAAATAATTTTTTTTCTAACAAGAGCTATCCCATCTTCCAAGTTTGGTTGGAGGAGAAATATATGTTTCCTGAGTCCCTTTCACTTGATCTATTTTATAGTGTAATTAGAATTGTAATAACGATTATTTTTTAAAAATTATTTTTTATATTAATATATTTAAAAAATTTAAAAATATATAAAAAAAAATTAACAAAAAAAAACTTAAAAAAATACAATTTAAACCAAGTTATCAAACACGAACTCGAAATTGTGGCCCAAAGGAAGAAAAGCCGAGGAGAATTGCCAGAGAATGATGATGATCCATGGGAGTTGTGGACTTCGAGATAGGAAAGGATGGCTCACCTTTTTCTCTGGCTTATATTTTAGGTGCTCGAATTCTTTGTAATTTTGCGGGCTAATCCTTTTATATGCTTATAAAAATATGAAATGAGTTTTTCCTTTTCAGCATACTTGTTTTTTTTTTATATTAAAATTATATTTTTTAAAATATCAGATTTAATCTTAACATATTTAAATAAAAAAATAATTTTAAACAAAAATTCAGATTTTCATTAAAAATTGGCTGAATTGCAGGTGACTAAAAAAGTATCTAAGAATATAATAGGTATTGCTTTTAAAAATATTTTTTTATTTTCAAATTTATTAAAATAATATTTTTATTTTAAAAATTATTATAATATCAACATGTTAAAATAATATAAAAAAATTAAATTTTTATTTAGTTTTGTTTTGAATTATCCAGGAATTAATTTTGAATTATAGTTAGGTTGTTGATTTTACATCTTGATTCAGGAAGGTTTGGGTAGAGTTTTTTTGATAATTTTTAGATTTTATATATATATATATATATATATAATTAAAATTTTAATTTTGAATGTACTTTTAAATAACATCTATGTGGTGGTGATATTTTTAAAGGCATTTTTAATTAAAAATATATTAAATAATTTTACAAAAAAGCATTGTTTATTAGAGGAGGCCTGGATTTGTAGGTTGATTAGAAAAATCTAGGATTTCAAGCTTGATTGGATAAAATATGGTGGACCCAGTGGATGTTGTAGGGACACGATGAACCCATCTGTTTTTTTTTAAAAAAAAGGAATAAAAGAATAGCTAACAGTGGATGCAACTTTACGTGCATGTGTGAGAGAGTACGGTTGCAATTTTCAAATTAATTTTTACATGTATATATATAAATAATAATAATTTATAATCAAGTTTTAAATAGGCTATTAACGTCTAAAGTTGAATAAATTACTTTCAAAATCTTGTTAATGATGGCGAGAGATTAATTCACTTACCAAGCGTGCAAAAATCTTAAAAAGGATAATAGTAGATCTCCCCCAGCCAGCTACCGATCTCATCACACCGCTAAAACTTTTGCCCTCTCACCTTTTGCGACGCCGTTCCTTCCCCTCCCGGCTCCTCTTTCTGTAAAAAAGAATCACTTGGATCGACAGAGGAACTAATTAAAGCTTTGATTGTTTGATCGATCGATCGATCGAGTGTGAGAGATGTCGAAGAAGAAAACGGCGTCGACCATGTCGTTGAAGGACTTTCATGGCGGCTCTATTCCTTCTGATCTCCCTCTACCTTCAGCTCCCGGCGTGTAATCTCTCGCGATCTTCATTTCTTTTTTCATTTTTTGCTTGCTTGTTTGTGATTTTGATCTAAATTATTTGTATTTCACTTAATTAATTTTCAAATTTTAGATCGTAAATTCTCAAGCTAATTAGATTTGTTTGTTTGTTTGGTTCGTCAGTATGATGAAGCCTGGTTCGGACCGAAATGCGTCGGCAAATTGGGGAAATAATTTGTTGCGGCCGAAGTCGTCAGGGGCTGCTCGTGGTTTTGATGAGAAAGCTTCGTTTTTATCTCACCCGGCGCCTATAGGTAGAAACTTTGATGAGGATGAGCGTAAGCCGTTGGATGGTTCATCTGCTCCTCGTCGTACTATTAGTGATGAAAATGTTCGTGCTTCGGCTTTGGTTCCTCAAGAGTTGAAGCCAGAGTATGTTTCTGGTTCGTCTGCTAGGGTGCCGGATAGACCGGTGACAAGTCCGGTACCACAGTCTATGAGATTGGGAGCGAGTTTGTCTCCGTTGAGACCGGGAGGGGGTTCGGTTGTAGTTAGTTCGCAGAATTCGGGTGGTTGGGGTGGTAATTCAGCGATAACAAGTGGTGGTAATGGTCAGGGTGTGAATAATAATCCTCCGAATGCTTGGGGGATGAGGAGGGATGTGATGGGTGTTAATGCCTCGAGGGGTTCATCTGTGTTGCCGGGGTCGAATCCGGTGTCAAAGTTTGCGCAAGCAAGTGCGCTTGAAAAGGTATCTTCAGGATTGTGGCAGTCAAAGAGTCCTGGTGAACTCTTACCACATTTGATTTATTCGCATGAGAGTAATGCAAGTCATAGTGTGGATGTGGGTAGGGAGAGGAGTGATTATGATAATTCAAGGGGAGGTCAAGCTGAAAGTGGTAGGGTCACAGGAGATAGGAATCAGGGTGGGGGGAGGACATTGCCGAATCATAGGAGGGATCAACCTCAAATGCACTCAGAAGAGTTTCATAGTGGAGGTATTGTCAGCTCGCAAACTCGACCAGTAATGCCCCCAGAAGTATCAGAACGACCTAAGCTGAATGTTCCTGCAAGAACTAAAGCTTTAGAGAGACCAGAAAATGACTACAGACAGGTATAACATTGGTTTTCAGGAGATGTTTTAATGCTTTCTTCAAGTTGATTGTTTGTTGATTACGATGGTCTCTCTATTTTTTTTATTTGTTAATATAGGGGTACCAGCAACCTGTAGTATCTGGGAAGATTGAAATTGCCCATGAATTGCATGGAAATGGAAATCCTTCAAAGCCAGGGTTGGCGGATACCAAGAGTGGTAGTCAGCCAGCTGAGAGACCACTTGAACGTCCCAAATTGAATTTGAAGCCTCGCTCACAACCTGTTGAACAATCTGATGGAAGCCTTGAAAGAGAAAGGTTTGTGGCATTGTTTTTTTCATTTTAATCAGATGTAGATGCATGTTTCTTATTTCTTCATATATTTTACCTTGGAATTTTCTTATTCTTTTGTCGTTACTGAAAATAGCATGATGCTTGGTTTGAAGGAAAATGTATTTTCTCAAAACAAACGAATATCGAAGCAAGTTTCTGACTTTTGCTAAGTAACTGCACCTAGCAGAGGATTAGCGCCTGGCTGTTGGTCCTTGTCTTAGTTCAAGATGAGAACTTGGAATATATTTAGACTGAAATGAGTTTTTTGAGCATATAGTACTAATTAATACATGTATTTTTCTTTATTTTTTCCTGGTCTGTTCCCATGACAAAATATTTTCATGCTCCAGTCTCCACAGTACACGAGCATCCCTTGTTGTGTCAAATAGCTAGTCTAATAAGTAAATGTCTTGGAAGCTTGTTGACAACGATTTGTTCAACTTGTTTTGCTTATCCTTTTCTTTTCATGGCTGATATATATTCTTTTCGTTGCTCAGAAGTTGATGTCCAAATTGATCACCTATGTGAGTTTTAGTAGCTGGTCTACCTTCTCTTTGTGAATACATTTGTTTTAAAGATGTGGCCTAATTTTGGTTGATGCCTGATTAATTCCTCCTTTTTTTATGTGAAATTAAGTTATCCTTATAGAATTAACAGGTGAGATACTCACTATTGATCTGCAGTCAAACCTCAAAAGGATAAATGTGGCTCTAAAACTTCATTCACTTTTAGTAGTTAAAATTTTCTATTTTTTTTTTAAATTTGTTAAAACATGAGTGGATTGTCTGAATTTTTAATCCTCCCTAACTCTAGTAGCC